TAATATAACCTCGTAGATACACCCACGTTAAGAATTTCTTCTCATCAAGATACTAATTAAGCTTGATAATTTATCTGAGTATTTCATGCTGCTCGTTAGAAAATTAGCAATAATTCTTGATTAATATTTGCACAGCTTTTAATTAGATGATAATAATTGTAGGGATCATGTGGGATTAGGTGAGTGGGACATTGTGTAGGTTAGATAAGTTCAAAGTATTTTATAAACTTTTCTTTGTGATTTTTATACATATTTCTATGCAGAAGTAAGAATTAGAAGGTATATGATTTCAACTGTTTTGATCAAGGTTTGAATGGGGAAGCGTATTTATGAAACCGGGTTATGCTTTCTTGGATTGGGTGATGTTAAATAAGACTATTTTGCAACTACCTAGGATCTACAGACTTGCTAAGCACTAGCAGTGCTTTAATACATTTATCACTCTACTTGTTATTGAGATTTGAGACTATCATGGTCAAAATAAATTAAATACTTGTACTTAAACTGTCAAACACCAAGCGGTCACCGGTGACCGCAACCTATTGTTCTTTAATTGTGTCTATAAATACGGTACTCGACGAGTTAATACATTAAACGTAATGGGGATCACCGGTGATCGAAGTCAGCAGAGGATTTAACTTCAACAATTTTCTATTGGCAGTCAAAGGCTTCAAAAACTACTTGAATTGGTCCAAAGAGCAGAGGAACAAATAAAGAGAAAAATATAGTAAAAAAAAGAAAAAATAGTACCTATCTACCTGCCTACCTGCTAATAAATGTCATTTGCCAGTAATGTCAAGGTTGTGCAAGGGCAGATTAAGTCAACTGTCGCCCTTCAGATCCTTCGTTTCAATCAAATTACCTGTCCATACTTTATATTATGCATAATGAACCTTAATAATGTTGTTTTAAGTACGACAGCCAAGCGTAGGTAGTTCATAATAGAGTAAAATGTTAGTGGTTTTGTTAACCGACTATCAAAAGGAGGTTATAATTTTTTTAAACTTAACCTATTAGGGATATGTATATGAGTACTTAAATGTAACACCCACGTTTTGATCTTGTATGATGAGTCCTAATTGTATTAGAGGAGAAACCGATTTTTGAGCATATTATTAGTACTAAAAATTATGATAGTGCTATTAGTACTATTATTAGCGTATTATTAATACACTTCAAAGCCTGGTAATCATCGTGAGAACTTCTGATCTATATACAAATAATAAAATCGTATGAAAGTGAAAACTGCACTTTTTTTTTAAAAGAATGCTTGAGTAAGTCCAAAAGTATGGATTATAGAATTTTTGTCTGTTTGTCTGTATGTATGTCAGGGCTAAATTGAAAAAGTACTGCAGGAGTCTACTTCAAATATTGCATGAATAGTATTAATAAGTCGGGTATTGACCGATATGTAGCCTACATATTCATGTATCCTACTTTTATGTATATAATGTTTTAATATTCATGTAGGCTTAATTATCACTTTTAATTATCACGCTATCACCCACGGGGGAGGAGCTGTGAATCATTATTCCATGCGGACGAAGTCGCGGGCACAGCTAGTCTGCAATATTGACAAAGAGTCTACAACCGTATGGTATGGTCCTCAACGTGTTGCGTTCCTTGTAAAATATCTACATTCTGTGGGACCTGCCAGAACTCAGTACCTGCTACTAACCTACTTGGAATAACGACAAATTTTTTTATTGTTTTTTGGTATAGGACGCGTATGTAATGGAGGTATCAATTTTGTATTTCTACGTTTTTTGTATGACGTTCAACTAAGACGTATCTTATAGTAGGTATATATATATTGTTTCCTAAATATTTTTGAGATATTTTAGGACTCATCTCTACTAAGGTCCCAAGCCACGTTAGAGAATCCTGTTCTAAACTAGTTCTCAAAAATACTTAGTGCAGGGACAGCAAGAAAACGACAGAGTTTGTTAATAGTAATATCTAATCACAATCTAAGAACTATCTAACAATTGTCCCGTCGAATCTCAATACTTATTTACGATATCACCACAAACTTTTCCTATAAAAATCTACGAACAAGTTTATTTTAAGATCTTTCAGAGTCAGTCAAGTTATTGTGTCTTAGTATTCTAGCTTCACGCTCATGTAGACTTTACACAAACATCCTCCCACGCAAACAATGTCTAGAAATAGATTTTCTTTAAGAAAACTTAGACAATGGACGTCTCAACGTCTGTGCTATGATACAGTATTGTACAAGTACAGTGGGCGTCAAAAGATTGCAGTTTTATAAATTAAAAAAGCTATTTAAAACACAATAAGTTTTGGATTGCATTTTGAGTTGTTCTCGGTTATCATACGAATACAATGATAGTCGTTATAGCTAGGAATATAATATCAACCATAGCGGTTTGTGAACCTTCAAACAATTAAATATTTGATAGTTTCTTCAATTTTAAGTGTGGGAGAGCCGGCTCGTTCGGAGTGATACCACGGCCTCACAGAAAACCGACGTGAAACAACGCTTGCGTTGTGTTTCGTCGTGTGAGTGAGGTTACCGGAGGCCCAACAACGCATCCCCTAGTCTCCCAAATCCCTGAATCCTCCACAATCCTCAAATTCCCAATTCCCAAAAGGCTGGTAACGCACTTGTAACGCCTTGGTGTTTCGGATGTCCATGGGCGGCGCCGATTGCTTACCATCAGGTGATCCGTCTGCTCGTTTACCGGCTTATGATGTATAAAAAGAAGTTTTCTTCAGGGGTTTTGAGGAACAGCCAATTCAAAGGTTGTGTCTGAACAGTTGGGAACAGTCTTAAAAAAAGGTATCCCATTTAAAATGTGGACCAAGTAACATAAACAAATGTCGATGGATACTATGTTTACAGTTACTGTACTTATTTATTAGAAGGTTTCTTCTTAGAAATATGACATTTCATGGTAATGTTTTTTTTTTGTATTTTAAGTTACATACATACAACAAAGTGCAAAACAATGTTTATTAATGAGTTCTTTTTTGTTTACAAAGCCTTGTAAAAAAACAATATTTTTAGTATTTCAAAGGATGTGAAACTATACTTATTTAGCAGTAAAGCCGAATGGTCATACCATGTAAAATTAATTCTTCATTTTTTCGAAATTACTCATTTACGCCGTTTTTTCTCAATCTGAGGTCGATCTCTGATCATCAAAGTGATATAATCTATAAATCTAGTATATTTAAAAAAAAATATTGCATTGAACCTAAACCACACAGCCTACGTGACAAAACCCACACGACCAATCACAAAACGCATTAAAAATAATGTTTCAATTCAAACAACCTTTCAATCCACATAGCACTATTGCAACCATTAATAAAATGTCTAATAATTAATCTAAATCCGGAACTAATTATAAAAACGGAAGTTGAGCATATGTACCGGTTGTTATCAATGTCAAGTTTGGAGGTAAACCGGGGTCGATGTCAACGTGCGCTTGCGACTGAGTGATGCAAGTCTTCGTGACGTCACGATGTAAGTAACGATGCGTGTGCGCAATATTTGGTGTTGATTTTGGTATAAATGGTGAGTGGTAGGTGTGTATTTGGTGTTCATATTAACTCGTTGAGTACCGTCATTATAGACACAATTAAAGAACAATAGGTTGCGGTCACCGGTGACCGCTCGGTGTTTGACAGTTATTACTGTGTTCGGTTATATAGTGTTTGTTAAAATAAAAGGATACACCAACATTTTGTATTAACAGGCTTTTTGACTACTATTTGAGCGATCTAGTCGCTAAGAGACAAAGCCTTTGAAATAATTTTAAAAAGCCCAGACTACGTACCTGCGTCTAACTAGAAGTTTTACGAAATAAAATAACTTTTGATTAACCCCTTGAGTGTCGGTATATGAGACACAATTGAAAATACATTGTGTATCGCGTAGATCTACGTTAAACCATGGGTTAGGAACCGATTTTTCCATCGAATGTTTTTTTTTGTCTAGATATTGCATATACATTGTTTCACATTTTCTAATAAATAAATTAAATATTGTATGAAATTATAATAACTACACATGTTTAATGTATTGTGACCTTTTCTAATCTTTCTAGAAAATTCCTCGAAGTTGTCCAAACACTGTGTTGCAATGTGTAATGAACGGTCTTGACTCGTGAGGTCGAGATGACCTTGGTGAGATGCTGATAGCTCATTTTAGTTTGTTGTGTTCGAAAAAATATTTAAGTTCTTTTTTGACTGCCTCGTTAGCCGAGTGGTCGCAAGTGCGACTGCCGGGCAAGGGGTCTCGGGTTCGATTCCCGGGTCGGGCAAAGTATTACTGGGTTTTTAAAAAATTCTCAGTCTGGAATTGTGCCCGGTATATGGCAATAGGCTCACCCCCTATTACATGGGACTCATAACATAAATAGTGAAAAGTGGGTGTTACATTGTACAGTGGTATAATGTGCACCTCTGCCTACGCCTTCGGGGATAAAAGGTGTGATGTTATGTTATGTATGTATGTTCTTTTTTTATGAAATAACCCGGTAGACGAGGAGGTGGATCACTTGGTGGTAAGCAATCGGCACCGCCCATGGACACCCGAAACACTAGAGATATTACAAGTGCGTTGCCGGCCTTTAGGGGATTAGGAATTTAAGGATTGTTCGGCGATTGGGGATATTGGGGAGGGGTGTAATTGTGCCTCCGGTAACCTTCCTCACACGACGAAACACAACGCAAGCGTTGTCATTTTTCGAAAATTAATTCGAGTTGATAATTTTTCGATATTTGGATCGTACACACAATAAATAAATATTCACTTCTATCTCTTTGTGAAAAGTCAGGCATGGTTTTACATTATTTATAATACCTATATTTTTCAATTTTACATAATAATCGTATTACAAGTTTATTGCGATATAATCGTGCGATATAATATTGAATTTGTTACAAAATACTTCAAATATAGTTAGATATTAATATGAGTATGTTAGAGTTGTAGTGGTAAATAAAAATATACTTTAAAATTATTGAAAATGATAGTGTTACGTAGTATTATAGTGGCAGGTGAGGTTAAAACATTTTTAATGTATGTCCTTTAATCAAATTGGATACTTAAATAACTTAAATAATTAATATTATAGTTATATTCTTAATTTTAAATACATGATTTCGTACTATCTCTGTCATTTTAAAGAATTTTTAGTGATAAAATTGTGTACTGCTTGAGTACTTGACCAATATTATCGTATCAGTCATTTAATGGCTACTTAACCCAGTCCTTTAAGTGTGGGAGAGCCAGGCTTCAGCACGAATGGGCACGCTCGGCTGGAGTGATACAACGGCCTCACAGCAAACCGAAGTGAAACAACATTTACGTTGTGTTTCGTCGTGTGAGTGAGGTTACCGAAACCCTAATTACCCCCCTTCCCCAATCCTCCAATCTCTCTAATCCCTTCATCCCCGTCAAACGTTAAATTCCTAATCCCCAAAAGGCCGGTAACGCACTTGTAACACCTCTGGTGTATTAGGTGTCGATCTACTGTTACTGTTAAATAAGCGATCCGTTTGCTCGTTTACCGGCTTGTCACATAAAAAACTACAGCAGTTATAGTCTTCCTAACTTACATATATTCATAATACTTTCTATAAGTCGTCAGCTAATAGTTATTCTAAAGTAGCATACAACCAAGAACTAAGAATTCACATTCGCACAAGCAGAAAAATGCACTTAAGTCATACTTTAAGTCCTAAGTGCTAATGCCCAACAGTGCGGAAAATTATTCTCTTCATCCCTTATGAAGGGGTTATTCCCTAAGGCTAAGGATTTTCCTTGAAGGCCATATGTTTTAGGAATTGGGATATAATTTTCTTCAAACGTATGTAGGTTTAAAGTTGAATTATGAGGTAGTTCTGAACCAGTTTTTTGCAGAGTTCGGTTTTGTTTTAGGCTATAGGATTTTATATGTCTATCATTTTATTCCTAACTGGTTTTTTAAATTGAGTTTGAGGTTCTAACATAACATAACATAACATCACGCCTTATATCCCGGAAGGGGTAGGCAGAAGTGCACATTATGCCACTGTACAATGTTACACCCATTTTTCACTATTTATGTTATGAGTCCCATGTAATAGGGGGTGAGCCTATTGCCATATACCGGGCACAATTCCAGACTCCGTGCTACTGCTGAGAATTTTTTAAAAACCCAGTATTACTTTGCCCGACCCGGGAATCGAACCCGAGACCCCTTGCCCGGCAGTAGCACTTGCGACCACTCGGCCAACGAGGCAGTCTGAGGTTCTATTGTGAACATGCACCTGATTTTCTTAGACATCCATAGAGAATTAATGAAACATAAATGTGTTTTTCATTTTTAAACTTTTAGATATTTACGTATTTACCCAAAACTCGTAATGCTAATAAAAATCTATGTTGTGTTAGTAATGTTTATTTATAATATACGTAGTTTTCTATTGCATTAATTTGCAGAATATCTAACAACTTATTATCCTTTTTCAGTGATCGTATTTATTCCATTGGCATCAATTCAGCATTTTGTTCCGGTAATAAAGGATTATATTTATTATTACAATACCTAAGATAATTTTCCCCAACCGAAAAAAGGAATTCGAAACACCTTTCGACAGTGATTTTTCCATAAGTACATTTTACCTACTACGTATATACATACATATATATGTCCATGGCCCATGGGTCAAATCTAAACAATCGTATATATATCAATGATCTCGGAAACAGTTCCAATGATTGTTTTAAAATATTGTCAGGGAATGTCGTTTACTAAAAAAACACCGAACAAAACTCAGTCATCATAATACTGCCATTAAAGCGCCACATTAGTGTATGTGAAATTTTATGTTTCTAAATGCACCCACAATACAGAAAAAAAATCTAGAATGTAGGGCTACGTTTAAAAACAATCATGGAGTTTTCTATTCTTTCTGTAGACAAGTGCATACATGACATAAGGCCCATAACATGGGAATGTTATGATAAAATTCATGGTAACAGCTAGGTTAAAGCATGAAACAAAACACTTCGTACCTGTTTTAATAGCACTTAAAAATTAAAAAGAATAAAACGTGAAAAACGAACTATGAAAGCCGACCGGCGTCGGTCTCATCTCATTAGTGAAATTGCTTTTATTAACTTAGCTGAGCCGCCTCTGGCCTCTATAATTCTCTATAGACATTACTCAATGAAAAATGATAGACAAACCGAATTAATTAAGGGATAATTGCATTAAATTAAAAATGTTTCGTTACGTAAAAAGTAATGACTTCCTTTTTTCTTTATTTTTTTACAATATGGTGTACTTCATATTAGATTTCACTCGGTGGGTCTTAACTGACTTCGTAATCTTTAAGAAATTATGGTTTCCTAACCCAAACAAACCTATTAATTAGATTATTAATGATTTTCATGAATTACAGCCTGTAAGTTATTGTGCTTTGGCTGACATTTGCAATCACTCCTGGATTCCCGTATGTGCGTGGGATATAAAATCAGACGACTACAAGATTTTTACTGATGAATGTGATGTATATGAGTTCAACTGTGATAGAGGTGCTAGTAAGTAAAACTATGTTCAGAATGTCTCTTTTACGTTAACTTGATCGATGCGTTTATGACGTTTGGCGATCTGATTGGCTGGTCTAAGTTAACCTATCTGAGGGCTTGTTGTTTTACGTTTAAAGTAATCGTAAGCGCCGATCGTGGTCTCGTTTCGATCGAGTTAACGTTAAAATAACAAGTTATTTTAACGTAACCCGCTTCACAATTCAGTCAAATGTCACCTCCATCTTCTACGGCCCGTGTCAATTCATTTTAGTATCGGCCATTTTCTAATACTTTTCTAATAAGGTCAGAATATTTAAATCAATTACACTAAATTTATCTCGTTCGTACCTCTAATCGTAATTTTATTCATCCTCCACAACATTCTCTCTTCGGGTCATTCTATAATCTCTTAAGCCTGACTTCGTACACCGTACACGAAGAGGTAATAGTCAGCTCTAAATCTGTTATAACAAAACTACGTTTAAAAAAACCAACGCGCTCTTTTTTTAAATTTCGGTTCATTAATAAAAAACTGAAACCTATGTGTAAACAACACTTTTCTGAAAACCGCATCAAAATGGGTTCAGTAAATCGCGAAGTAATCGCACACGAACATAAATACAGGTCAAATTATGAACTTCCTTTTTTTAACTCAGTTAAAAATTAAAAAAGATTAATTTATAACAAAATGTCTAAATTTCAGATTATCACTTAGTAAACTACGCAGATTGCTTTAACCCGAGTTTATCAACAACAACGCCATGCCCGGTACTTGATAAGTTAATGACTAAAATTCTTGGCTACTACATATTTAGACCTAATGGAGCAAAAACAGTGTATGCAAGTACTACTGTTAGAACAACAGAAGCACTGCGCAGGAACCAAAGAAGATATACACCGGAGAAGACAAGGAAAATAAGAAAAGAAACCACCACATGTTCACCTTGCGAGAGAAATAAGAAACTGCTTGCTGAACTGGAGGCCAAAGCATGGTCAATTGAGCCAGTTGTTCAGAATACCACAAAGAAGAAACGTAAATCGGGCCCGGTATGTCTATGCTATTATCTTCACATCTATCTAAACCATTCTTAATATGTATTCTATATTAAAGTGCAATTCGTAGTATCATTGAAATGTATATATGTACGCGCATAACTTCCGAACTAGTCGACCAAATTGGATACTTTTTTTGTGTTGGTTTTACTTATAGTTAGGACAAGATTGGTGTGAAAGAAAATATCGATATATTCATCGGGAGCACCGAAAAATGGCGGGTCGTTAGTTATGATCTAAAATATAGAAAAGGAATGGAGGGGGTGAACTATTATCTCCTAAGTATCTATTTCAATTTGTATTTCAATGCAGAAATGGAATGAGGGTAGAGAGACCTTTGTCCTGCAATGGGACAAACATGACTGAAAATAAATAATAAAACAATTTCAATACAGGTAAAAAGGTCCCGAACGGAAGCAACGATAGTGTTGAAAAAAGAGACAGTGTGGAAGAATGGTAAGATCATGCACAAGGTGGTAAAAGGATTTAAACCGAATCCAAAAACTACTAAGCGAACACATGACGACTCCGATTTTTTGGAAAATTTAGCGTAGGGAGTAATCTTACTCCTAACTATGTACACAATTATTTGAAAAGATATCTATATCTATATCTATCTATACATATAATAAAATTGTAGAAAAGTGCTGTCTGTACATTGAAAATAAAAATAAAAAAATAGCAGGGGTTATTGTTATGTCGATGTCGAACCCAAAAATGTAATTAACTTTTTTTTCGTCTGTTTGTCTGTTTGTCTGTTCACGCTAATCTCAGAAACGGCTGATCCGAGTTGGATGCGGTTTTCACGAATATATTGTGGTATGCTTCAGTTATGTTTTAGTGTTTGTTTCATGTCAATCGGTTCATAAATAAAAAAGTTATGTCAAATAAAAGAATCACGTCGTGAGTATATATTTAAAAAAAAACGCTGCTCATAGTCACTATTAAAAAAACCGCTTGTTGTTAAATATTGCATACTGATAAACACACTTAATATTCTTTCTTGCTTGCAAATCTGCTTACGCCATAATTATGAATTGCTCTGCATGCTATAGTATTATTGATGATGACGAGGGAGTTCTGCGTTGCTCACGTGAGAATTGTGGCAAATTTTACCATCCCATGTGCACAGGCGTGAGGAGCCTAGTAAATATTGATATCGATACATGGACCTGTCCAGAATGTCGTTGCGCTATAAAAAAAGGGGGAGACAATTCGTTTACTCCCGTGGGCACAAAACAAGACCCTAATGTGACAATGCGTAAGAATAAGTCGACTACCTTTACGAGCAACTATGTCAACTATCTTGATGTTGATGGTAACATTGCATTCATATCGGAAGTACATGATCTGCGGTCAGAGATGTTCATTCTTAAAGAATTGCTCACAAAAGCATTGACCTTAATCAGCAGCCATGAAGATAAGTTAGAAGCATATGCTATTCAAGTAAAACAACTGAATGAAAAGCTTGAAAAGCATGAGAAAATTAATATCCAAACCGACACATCGCGAAATGAGCGTAGACTAAATTTTTCATCGTGTAGCCCAGATGTAACAATTAAACCAACAACAGCCATACAGGTACCTAAACAAAAGGTGGACAACTCTCAGCATTACCAACAAGCTACCCAAAAACATAAAACTACCCTCGCAACACCAGCAAGTCAAACACTGAATCACGCGGTCGTTGCCGAACCTAGTCAGAACTGTAATCCTGAGGGTGACGGAGAATGGGTTGAAGTTAAAAAGCGCAAATCTAGGCAGCGCGAAAAACCGTTACAGGGTACTGCTGATCCTCTATCGATCAAACTAAAGGCTATAGAAGTACGCAAATACTTTCACCTCTGGAACATGGCTTCCGATGTTGATGAAGTTCGCCAATACCTTTCTCAGTTGTATCCTACCACTACCTGTTCAGTTGAAGAGTTAAAGGCCCGTGGGGATTATAAATCTTATAAAATCGGTGTTCCAGCTGAATTTTGTGCCGGGATTTATTCTGCCGAAATCTGGCCAATGAATGCTAGAATGAAGCCTTGGATGAATTACAAAAGGAACAGCCCAAATCCCAAAATAAACGAACTACAAAATCCGTCCTTTCGTGAGCCCTTTCGCACGTCCGCAGGACAAACACAATAAAAGTCTTAAAAACATACATGTTTGCTACCAAATGTGCGAGGTCTGAAGACGAAGCTGTCAACGTGGCGCAACCACTTATCCCTGTTGGAGCAAAACCTTGTTGCTATCACTGAAACTTTTCTGGACTCCTCGGTCTTGGATTCTGAGATTGAAACTGGTGACTGGTGTATCCTGCGCCGTGACAGAAATGCGCCCTGTGGAGGCGTCCTACTAGCGGCGCGAGCGCCTCTCGTGCTTCGCAGGAGACGAGAGTACGAAACCGAGAGCGGCGAAGATTTGTGGGCGTCCTTTACGTGGCATAGCCTTGCATTCTTAGTGTGTGTTGTGTACATCAAACCTAGTGCTAATGATGAAGATTACATGAGTTGGTTTTGCAAAACCGAAGGTTTCATACATGACTTTAAGGGCTTTGTTGTTATAATGGGTGATCTTAATCTAAATAGTGCATCTAATAATATCACTAATTACTACTGCTACTTCTTGTCATTTTGTTCTTTAGTTGACAAAAATGATATTTTAAATGTGCATGGTGGAAAGTTGGATGTCATATTAGTCCGGGAAGGTTTTCACGAAGTGTTTGTGTCTGGCGTTGATGGTATTGTTCAGCCAGATACATATCACCCTCCGTTGGAAGTTGAGGTAAGAATTGAATCAGTTCATTGTTCGAATGTTATGGATCCTAGCAACATCAACCCTTTCAGAGATTGGAACTTTTACAAATGTAACTACGAGCAACTGTACTTGTTATTATCAGAGACATCTTGGGATCCTGTTTTGCGGGCCGTTAGCGTTGCTGATGCGGTGAATGCCTTTTATCAGATTATCTACGATACTTTTGATACTTGCATGCCTAAGAAAAGTCGTTCAAGGAAGGTAACTAAGCGGTACCCTGTATGGTTTACGTCTGACATAATTAAAGATGTCAAACGTAAGCTCATATTGCACGCTACTTGGAAGCGCTCTAAATGCCTTGAAGACTATAAGCCTTTCTCAGATCTTCGGAGTACCTTAAAATACCGCGTTGCTAATGCATATCAAACGCATATCAAACGTGTAGAGAATAATATTAGAGTAAACCCGCGTGAATTCTGGCGACATATATCCAGTTTGAGATCTAAGGGAGGGTTTGAACCGTCGGTGAGCTACTGTGGCGATAGTTACAGCGGTACTGCAGCCGCGGAGGTTTTTGCCAAATTTTTTGCCAGTGTGTTTTTGCCGGATAAACCACTGTTAAATGTCACCAGCATTGGTAATTCAGACACTACCAAAAATAGCAATTACATAAACATCTTTCAGTTCTCGTCCAAGGATGTTTTAGATGGGTTAAATAAACTTAAAGTCAGTAGTTCCGTAGGCCCGGATAGTATGCCACCCACTATTCTCAAGCATCTCAAGAATTCGTTCGTTTCTCCTTTATCCCACATATTTAATTTATCACTTCAGACTGGATTTTATCCCCTCCAATGGAAAGTGTCGCGCGTGACGCCTATACCTAAAACGTCGAATAGGACAGCTGTAGAGGAATTCCGTCCTATTGCTGTCTTATCGTCACCTGCTAAAGTATTTGAAAATGTTCTCCATAAACTTATATATGAACAAGTCGAAAAACATCTTAACAACGCACAACATGGTTTTAGATGTAGAAGATCCGTTGAATCTAACTTGTTGACTTTGACGGAGTATATTTCATCACAGCTAGATAGACGTCATCAGGTTGATGTTCTATATTTCGACTTTCGAAAGGCATTTGACCGCGTCAACAATGATATCTTGCTCGCGAAACTTTATGCCATAGGTATTTGCCCTAACCTATTACGCTTACTGGCTGACTACCTTCGTGACCGTCAGCAGTATGTGAAATTAGGAATTTACGAGTCCAGCACTTACCACACTCGATCCGGGGTAAGTCAAGGCTCAATCCTTGGCCCCTTACTATTCCTTCTCATGATCAACGATCTCCCAGATGTTCCCAAACACGCAAAATGTCTTCTGTATGCTGATGACCTAAAACTCTACACTTGTGTCAACAGCATATCGGATTGTGAGGCTGTTCAGAGGGACATAGACCTGGTTTATGATTGGGGAGTTGCAAATAAAATGGATTTTAATCCTTCTAAGTGTTACGTCATGACTTTTGGTCGGGGACGGCACCCTATCACCTTTGATTATAAAATAAATGGTTCACCTATAACCAGATCATCAAGTATGAGGGACCTGGGTGTCGTCTTCGATCAGAAGTTGACATTTCACGATCATATCGCCACGGTTGCTAAGGAATCATTCAAAAGACTTGGATTCGTCTTAAGAAATTCAAAAGATTTCAAGAATGCACACGTGATAAGACTCTTATATAATACTCTTGTCAGGAGCAAACTGGAGGCCAGCTCCTGCATTTGGAGTCCATACGAGGCATCTTATTCACTCCTACTTGAAAAAGTTCAAAAGAAATTCTTGAGGTTCCTCTATAAATTTTCTCTGGGTTACTATCCATACATGTATCCAACAAAGTACCTTGCAGGATGTTTAGGATTTAATATGTTGGATACTAGAAGGGCATACAATCAACTTCACATCACACTAAAAATCTGCAGAGGGCTCATAGATGCTCCTGATCTCCACAGTGAGCTGATTCGATTGTATGCCCCAAATAACTACATACGCGCCCGGAGGCACCGTCTACTATCCGTGCCCGCAAGTCGTACCGTGGCCCGGGCATCGTCCCCCATTCCTCGCATCCTGTCCGCGCTCAATAGCCTCGTGGAAGCCTACCCTGACTGCGACCTATTCATGGACGAGCTTAAAGCTATTAAAAAGGTTTGTCTCAGTTTTTGTGAAAGTCTCTGAAGTCTGTGTTGAATTGTATAATTAAATGTTTTGATTTCATTTTACTATGATATTTCCTTTTTGTCATTTACTATTGTAATTGTCTAATTTTTCTTTATGTTTCTTAATTGAATTTTAATTGTATTTTTTGTTTTTTTTTTTTTTAATGTGACGTTTATTTATGTTTCATTTTTTTTCTTTTTTTCTTCTTTTTCTGTTATTGTAACCGTTCGATTCTCTTTGATTTCTCTTTGTATGTGTGTTAATGTAATTGGTGTAAAGCCGTGTTAACATCACAATAATAAATAAATAAATAAATAAATAACTATTCCACGCGAACGAAGACGCGGGTACAGCTAGTAATATAATAAAATTATTAAACGCAGAGTATTTGTTCATTTTACTTGTTAGAAATTGTCTGTAAAGCCTACATGTGTAATTCTGGAACTGATTATTTGATGATACTCACAATCTGAAGATCTTAAACTTTAGTGTTAATCAACTTAGTAAGTAAATTTTCGGTACAGTTAATTTTTATGGGTCGGCAAGGCGCATTTAATGTTGTGTTGTGTTGCAAGCCCCAAGTATTGCAGGCCGTATGCTTATTTGCCACCGTCGTGGTAGAAATAAAAAATCGAACCGATGGACTAAGGCATTCAGCAGTGAACGTCTGCGTGATAATGATGATGAATTAAATTCATGAGCAACTTTTTTTGTGTGTGTGCAATAGGCTCACCCCCTTTTACATGGGACTCATAACATAAATAGTGAAAAGTGGGTGTTACATTGTACAGTGGTATAATGTGCACCTCTGCCTACCCCTTCGAGGATAAAAGGCGTGATGTTATGTCAACTTTTTGTGATTGTCAAATTATAGGTTTGAGTCTTGGTGTCATGTGGATGTGAAATTGTACGTTTATAAACACACCCGCGATACAAGAGAAAATCCTAGTGAGTAGTAAAGTCTACAAAATTACTGATTGCCTTATTTGCTATCAATAATACCAATAAATCAACTAAAAAATATCTCTCTCATGCTTTGAATTTCATCTAAATGTCGTATTTCAATAGCACCCTAACAAGACTGCATATTAGATTAAATTTCTGAATAAGAAACCTTCTATAGACAACTTGATTAGTTGTCTTCTAAGAACTGAATTGCGTAGGACGATGCGTCAATTCTAGGGACCATGGCTCGCTTTAAATTATCTTTATATAAATAGTCTAGGAGAAAATCGATACTATTTTCTGTCTAACAGGATAATTTTGTATTATAACTTTTGTGAGACATACTAAATTAATTATTATATTTTTGGGTTTTATCACGTAATTATTCGACAGGAGGTAGAAGCGTGACAGTCGCCGAGTCGCGGGTCGCGGAATGCTGCTCATAAATATGAGCCTCTAGCATGGCTTGAAACTAGTCGAGTTCCTCGTCAAATAATTACGTGAGGACAAATTTTTTTGTTATTCTTGACGGAGTTGGATTAAGGTATAATTTTATAATAAGCACAAACGTTAAGATTAAGATTGAGAGAGTCCCCAAGCGTTGAGATTACCACAAACTTCTCATTTGCAGAGAAGGCTTGTAGTCTAGCAGAAAATTCTCACGAGCTGTTGATGATGATGACAAACTTATTTATAGACTATAATAGTATTTTTTTTTTATGGGATAAGCCGGTAATCGAGCTGACGGATCATTTGATGGTAAGTAATCGGCGTTACCCATGAACATCCGAAACTCCAGAGGCTCCAACGCACATGTAGCGTTGGCAGTTTTTTGCGGAGTTTTTGGCATCAGAGAGATTGAGAAGGAGGGTGATTAGGCCAATGGTAACAGGACAATGTTGAGAACTTATGTTCAAATAGAGGATGGTGTATTTGTAAATTACCAACTATGTGAATAAAATAAATCTCCGAAACCAGTCTAGTCTGAATCTATATGAGAAAAATCATCAAATACGGCTTATTCTATAAAATTAACATATACTAGTAAATAAGCGAATATTCTAAACAACTGTGATTTCCTATGCAAACTTAAAAATCCCACTAACATACGAGAAAAATTATAAAAATTCAGCAATGTTTTTTACAAATCAACTCCGACATAAATCCACTGAATCACGCGCTGTTTACAACACGCAATAAATGTACTGAAATATTTCACAATCAAACGGATTTTATTCTTTACCATAATCCTACATTGGATTACTTTTTTTTAACGAACTTTATTTCCGATACATTTCTTGTTTTATGTAATTATTGAATCGGCTTCGTGATATCAGAATGACAATGTAACATTGACATACTTAATAATTAAAAAATAAAATTTAAAAAATGTGGTTTTGATAATGAATTGTTTGACTTAAAAATAAAAATGTTTCTTGAAACCGTTATAGCTTTGAGTGAGTGGTGTTTTTCTTATTTACAACCTTCTTTCTATTCAAGCCAAGTCCAATACATCAGTCGCGGAGAACCTAACCGGTTACTGAGGCTCCGGCTCGACCTGCAGGTGAAGGAACGGGGTGGTTTTTAGTCAGTAAGAGTCTGACACACTCTCCCGCCTCACCTAGGCAGGAGCAGGCATTCGATGATTTTCCCCCCTTAAGAAAAAGTCTAATACATCAGGGGATAAAAATGTCCTGCGACACGTATCACCAGCGACGTCGGGTAAAGTTGTGCGACGTTGCCAGACTTCAGTAGACATGTCTGGCAACATCGACATCGCTGTGGACATAAGTCGCGCGTAGTCGCCATATATGTCAAGCGTGATTGGCCGGCTTCGCTTGACATATTGCCGATTCATGTCCTGGTGTATCCTCAGCTTCAGTCAATTATTTACCTAAGGGATTTATATAAATCAGTTATTAATGAATTGACATTTAGAGATTATAAAGTAAATGTGTTAAGTGTTATACACATTAATTTAATGTAAAATACTGTCTTTAACAGAGCTCTGATAATTTAAATAACTAAGTAAAGTTTCTACTTTCAGCATGTATTTTAATTACACCTACAATACATCATATGATAGGGGTAAGATATAAATAAATGAGAATTTTAATTTTCTCTATTTATAAAAATGAATTCCTTTTTCCCTTGGTTGGCATCACTCGTAAATGGCTGGACCAATTTCACTAATTATTTTTTTGTTATGTTTGTTATTATTATTAGAAGATTTCCCAATTCCTGAATCCCCAACGATGCTCAAACTCCTAATCTCCAAAAGGCCGGTAACGCACTTGTAACGCCTCTGGTGTTCCATGGGCGACGCCGATTGCTTACCATCAGGTGATCCGTCTGCTCGTTTACTGGCTTATGCCATAAAAAAACTCCTGAAAATCCTACGGGAACGCGAAAAACGGGATTGCGCGTATGAAATCGCGGGCAGAGGCTAGTAATTAATAAAAATTAAGATTAAAATATTATTCTACTAAAATTTTCAGCCAATCGATGAATGTACAATGACGAAACTATGTAACCATACGTGGACACCACTCTGTGCATACAATGAAGTGAACTCTAGTTACAGATTATTTTTTGATGATTGCGATTTACATGAATATAACTGCGATCATAACAAAAGTAAGAAAAATACACCAGGAATTGAACATAAGACTGCCTCGTTGGCCGAGTAGTCGTAAGTGCGACTGCCGTGTAAGGTCGTAAGGTCTCGGGTTCCCGAGTCGGGCAAAGTATTTCGGGTTTTTAAAAAAATCTCAGTAAAAGCACGGAGAGCTATTACATGGGACTCATAACATATATAGTAAAAAGCGGGTGTTACAGTTGTACAGTGGCAACGCATAAATCCTCAAGCGGTCACCGGTGACCGCTCTCCACTGACTACATTATAGACCTTATTTCCGACCTCCCGAACGGCGTTAGCATGATATGCTACGCCGACGACACGCTGGTGCTAGCGCACGGGAGGTCGCACCAGGCGGCGGCCGATTTAATGGCGACAGCGGTTGCGACAGTCGTTGAGAGAATCCGGCAGTTGGGACTCGAGGTGGCGCTCCACAAGTCCGAGGCCATGTGTTTTCATGGCCGCGGGAATGCGCCACCTCCTGGTGGGTCTCAAATAATGGTGGGAGGGGTTACCATCGGCGTCGAGACGGCGATGAAGTACCTGGGACTCGTCCTCGACAGTCGATGGAACTTCATAGAGCATTTCCGACGTTTGGCTCCAAAGTTGGAGAGGACGGGGGCTGCGTTCAAACGCATCCTCCCCAACCTCGGGGGGCCAAACGCCTCCTGCCGGAGGTTATACGCCGGGGTCGTGCGGTCCATGGCCCTCTACGGCGCCCCTGTTTGGGCGCCGAACTTGTTGCGGCGTCCTGCTCGGACGCTGCTCAAGTCACAGAGGGTCATGGCGATCCGAATGATCCGTGGATACCGCACGATCGCTGGGGAGTCGGCGAACCTCCTTGCCGGATTACCGCCGTGGGATCTGGAGGCGAAGGTGCTCGCGCGCGTGCATAACATGCGCGCGGAGGCACGTCGCCGGGGCGAAACTCCGCTGCCGCGCCAGATAAGTGCGTGGCGGGATGAGCTCCGGCGCGATCTCATGGCGGAATGGCAGCAACGACTGTCGCAACCGAGGGCTGGGCTCGCTGCCATTGCAGCGGTAAGTCCCCTCTTTGAGGAGTGGCTTGAGAGACGCTACGGCGTCCTCACCTACCGCCTGACGCAGGTCCTCACCGGACATGGAAGTTTCGGGAGGTACCTGTGTCTGATGGGGCGGGAGGAAACGCCCGGGTGTCATCACTGCGAGGACCACCCTGAGGACACGGTGGAACACACTGTTGCGGAATGCCCTGCGTGGGCTGAGCACCGCCGTGCCCTCAGGGAAGTGATCGGCGATGGAGACCTCTCGCGTCCGGGCCTAGTTCAGGCCATGATGCGGAGCGAGGGGGACTGGGATGCCGTCTCCTCCTTTTGCGAAGCAGTCATGCTGGCTAAGGAGGAGGCGGGACGCGCGAGGCAGCGAAGCGCTGCCTCCTCGCAACCCAGCCATCGCGAAGGACACACCGGGCGTCGGGGATCGCGGGACGATCTCCGGCCACCGTAAGCGCGGGCCTGCGGACGGCGAGCATGGGTGGCTCCCCGTCCGACCAGAAACAGACCCGAGCGTACGGCGCGTCGCGTTCCGCGCGCGCCTCAAAGAGCCATCAGACCACCACAGATGGGGCCCAATAGGGCCGATGCCGATTCGGAGTCGCGGAGAACCTAACGGGTAACCGGGGCTCCGGCTCGACGTGCAGGAGAAGGAACGGGGTGGTTTTTAGTCAGTAAGAGTCTGACACTCCCTTCCGCCTCACCCAGGCGGGAGCAGTCATTCGATGATTTTCCCCCCTTAAAAAAAAAAAAAAAAAAAAAGACCTTATTTCCGATGTTTAGAGACTACTTTTGAATGAACAAATTTAGGGGATGATATTTTAACAGTGCCGTAATGTCAAATCAAATCATTTATTCATTTGCGAACATGGGTACAAAAAAAAGGTCTTATACAAAATAGTGTCCATTAACCATATTCTACCTTAAAGGCATGCAAATTTAAAAGAAATGTACATCTCTGGCTACCCTTTCGGAGATAATAGGCGAGATATTATGTGATGTAAAATTGAATATCATCAATATGATAATGATAGTACATCTAATATTGAATTCATCAAATTACAGCATACAAAGTAACAGAATTTTCGAATTGTGGCCAAAACTGTACACGAGATGACGAGACTACAACTCCTATGACTACGGTAAGTACAGAAGCAACTACATCAAGCAACAGTACAAGTACTTCAGTGGCTACCCCAGTAACCTCGCCAGAAACGACGGTAAACGTGACAACCACAAATGCAACTACACCGTCTACAGAAATAATAACTAACGCAACTGATACGACTACTGCGACTACGGCTACTACTACTACTACAACAACTACAACGACTACAACGACTACTACTACTACAACTACGACTGAGTCTACTCCTACCACATCGAAAAATGACAGTGAGAACACCATACCTACTAAAATGGATTGCTATCCTAATGACTGCACATTGCCATCTACTTGGGACACGACAGTAGAAGGCGAAAGAAGAGATTTCGTACAAATTCTAAATGAACGTTTTGGTAAAAGAGTGAAAATATTAAGAAATACTTCACATTTCCCCAAAACCCCTGCGTATGTTAGGGAAAGTGATAATTTTATACGTGGACATTATAGTGAGACGCGGTGATGGGTTTGTCGGATTTTCCATCACCAAGTCTTATGTTATTAAACCTTTTTGTATAAAATATAGTTCTTTTATTTTTTCGTTTATCATTCACGACCTCATTTAGATTGCACGTTTTTTATACACAACAGCGAGAATTTTAAAATTACATGCACTACACGACACTCCGTAAATAAATGTTCTATTGCTATGAATTTCAAAATTATGATTAACATCGTTTTCATTTCTCAAAATGGTAAATCTCAAATCATGTGCTTAGCAATCTCACAACCACTAGACTTTAAAGTTTAAAATGGCTTATCTTTACACAAATCGACCTTTGCATTTATCGTGCGTGGGACTTGTGTACAATATTAATTGCTGCTCTTAGAAACAATTTGTCTACAATCTCGACATTGACTTAATCTGCTTTTGACAAAGGAGTTTGAATATCATAATATCTTAGATCTTTGTTACTGATCTTCTCATGGGAGGTTTAAAGGGTAGTTGTTCTAGCATTTATGTAATTATCTTTGTTCGTCTGATATTTTATTACTTAGTTGTTAAGGTGTACATGATTTTGCTAAGAATATTATGAACTACATTTAAAAAATCGACTTCGACCCCTCTTTTATTGAAGTCGGTCAATTACATTGACAATTACAATACTTCTCTGAAATCACATCAAAATCGGCGCAGCCAATCGCGGGATAATCGCTCAGAAATATACATATACATGTATGAGAACCACTTATTTTGAAGTCGGCTAAAAATGATCTTTGAGGTAGGCAAAGTGAAAAAAGCTTATAAATAAAATAACATCCACTATGTATGCATCTAACAACATGAGATTCATTATGATAGTTAGTGAACAATGTTTCATTTTTCTTCTTCTCCTCTTATAATATCTTCTGATTCACTTCGTTGCGGGAACCAAGACAGTTACTCATGTCCCTGGGACCCGCCGGACTTCAATGTTCCGGTGTTTTCATGGTTGTATCTACTGTAGATCCTGGCTTACAGGAGTTGCAGCGGTTTTGGGAGGTTGTGGCGGGCTACCCATTTAAAAAAAAAATGTTTCATTTCATATGAACAGTTGTGCGTTAACATGCACTATTCTGGGATTTAAATGTTAAGAAATAAAGTTTTAATTATTACCTCACCAATTATAACTACTACGTATTTGGTATTTCCCAGTTCAGAATCTAGTATAAGTAGGCCAGATCTTTACCAATATCGGGTAGTCTGCAATTTATGGGTTGTTAGCATTGAAATGCAAATCCGAATCGATATGCTCAGCTGAGTCGAGCCGAGCGTCGAGTGCCAAATACATCGCATTCATTGTATTTCGCGCGGAATATGTTTACGGAATGATATCGAAAAATTCATAGCTGTGTGTCAGCACATCTACTGTAAATTGAATATAGTATTTTATTATGTTTGTTAAAGTAAAAAGCTGCCTCATTGGTTTAGTTGTTGAAAATACGACTATCGGGCAAAGTGTAATTGGGTACTTTCAAATTTACGTTAATTCTTAGTAATAACACTGAACGGTGAATTATACCCAGTTTATGGCAATAAGTTAAAAAAAATCTATCAGCCGAACATAATACCTACTCCTTTTTTGAAGTCGGTAAAAATTGGTATTGCATTGTAATTATGAACACTTCTGTCAATCCTTTCGGGTATTAAAAGGCGTAATGTTATAATGATGTTATAAACGACTGACTCGTTGGGTGAGTGCTCGCAAGTTCAACTGCCGGGCAAGGGGTCTCGGATTCGATTTCCGGGTCGGGTAAAAGTACTACTGGGATTTAAAGAAAAAACTCAGTAATAGCACTTACTCCTAAGTGGGATTGTGTCCGCTATATGGCGTATATGGTAATAGGCTTACCCCCTACTACATGGAACTCATAACATACCTTAATAGTGAAAAGTGGGTAAATTGTACAGTTGCATTAAGTGCCGTAATGTGCACCTCTGCCTACCCATTCGGGGATAAAAGGCGTGATATTATCTATTATGTATGTTATATAATATTATTTTGTTATGTGCTAAATCAAGAATTTAAACAATTGGAATGAACACTCGTACTTTTTGGTCAAATCGAATTGCATCCTTGAAGTGGAACTGGGTCACACTGATATTTAACAGTGACTTGAATTCTAAGTAGATTACGTAGATGGTTTCTGATGCAAGCTTACATAATGGTGCATGCAGTTTTTCCATAATAGTTTCCAAATTGCTTTTAAGGTAACACCTTTGTGTTACCTTAAAATTCGTATTGTGAAGACAGAGAAAACATTTGTAGCTTTTCATGGGTGCGTCTTAACTGACCGAGTGGATAACCCTCGGTATCGTGAGGGTTAAGCTGGGGGTTGATTTGAATAAAAGTACTAGGTAGTGGTTACCGAGCACTTGTATTCCGAATTATCGTACGTACAATGAAAAATATGATACAATACGTGACCAATTGATACCAACATTCAAATAAATTCGTTGGACCCTTATACTATTGCCGGAGAATCTTAACACCGCGATTCAGAAAACGATCTCAAATAAAAAGCGCCATCTATGGACGAATGTTGGAACACTTGTTTTCTGAACCGCGGGTTTCTTACATGTCATTTGCTTGACGGTTAGACACCGAGCAAAAACTCTTTAGTAATTCTAAACCTTTACATTAAAATTACCTTCTTCAATTTGCCTGTCAAGCGTGGGTATTATGCTAGTTTTTAAAATTCTGTGGTCGTTTCGCGCGTTCCTCAAAGAGCGATCAGACCACCACGGACGGGGCCCAATAGGGCTGATGCCGATACGGACTTAAAGGGTTGCCAGGGCTCCGGCTCGAAGTGCAGGAGTAGGACCGATGTGGACGACGACGGCGACGCGACGACGGCGACGCGCCGTACGCTCGGGTCTGTTTCTGGTCGGACGGGGAGCCACCCATGCTCGCCGTCCGCAGGCTCGCGCTTATGGTGGCCGGAGATCGTCCCGCAAATTTATTTTATACTATGTAGTGATTCAAGTACACTTCACCAGCGTGAATCTCATGACGATTAGTAACAATGCAAGAAAGTCGTCTAGTAAGTTAATGTCAAGGCTTAACCACAGATAACGAAATGCGGAGATCTGTAGAATAAGCGAATTAGATGTTGCAACCTTTGTAGTATGCTTGAGATGATTTGCGTTGCATTGCGTAGTGAACCTACTGTGGAGATTAATAGGCCCTTTGTGTTTGTAAGTCACGTGTTTACGCGCAATTGTTATGTGCTTTTTGTATGTTGTGCAATCGATATGTATGTATGTTTTAGTTTGTAAATATATTTAAGAAAACATAGTTATTGGATATCTTAGTTTTTTAGTTGGAAGTTGTGTTGGGCACTATGGCAGCTAACTTTGAGAGTTTAAGAGAGCTTTGGTTTGAGAGGGTAAAATCATCCAATGAATTCTCCTGCTTTGAGTTAGGCGAGAGGGAGTGTTAGATTATTACTGAATAAAAACCCCTCCATTCATATTCTTGCTTTTCGAACCGGAGTCCCGGTAACCTTCTAATCGAATTCGATTCTCCGTATCGGGCATCAGCCCTACTGGGCCCCATCTGCGGTGGTCTGATGGCTGAGTATAAGAGCCAGCCAGGCATGACTGCTTGTGATAACATGATAACTTCTTATATCTGATGATAAAATTCTGAATGAAGCACGGAGTTTGCAATTATGTATCCACTATCTTCCATTGGCTAGATTTAAGCATGGTGTAATACTATTTCATCAACCTTAAAGCCAAACGTACACTGGATCAAATATTTCGTAAAAGTAAGTAAGTACACTGATTTCGTTAAACGTTTACTTAAAACAAAATGGAGGCGCAATAAAATGTACGCAGGTCAATGTCAAACCTTCGGTATGGTAGTGAATGTTATGAAAAAAAAAAACAAAATCAAGTCAATAATTTAAAAAAGTTGTCGATGCACTAACTTCTTCTTAACAATTCATTTACCTATTCTTGGTGTAATATAGGTTGTAATAGATACAAGAATAGGTTGTTACACTTTTTAATCTCGAGGCTTTGCATACCCACAATCCCTAGGTGTGAAATTATACATAGATAGGAACACAGTGTAAGACCTATTTTTCCAATATATATATCCCTTATTATAAGTTCATTGTACAGTGGTATAATGTGCACCTCTGCCTATCCCTTTGAGGATAAAAGGCGTGATGTTATGTTATGTATAAGTTCAATGTAATAGAGGGTGATCTTATTTTTGTATACCGGATACAATTCCAAAATATACTTTAAAACATGGCATGGGTTTAAAACAACAGTAAGCCCTGCTTCTAGTCGCGGAGAACCTAACGGGTAACCGGGGCTCCAGCTCGACGTGCAGGAGAAGGAACGGGGTGGTTTTTAGTCAGTAAGTGTCTGACACTCCCTCCCGCCTGACCCAGGCAGGAGCAGTCATTCGATGATTTTCCCCCCTTAAAAAAGCCCTGCTTCTCGTCAACAAATTGAAACGTATTGGCCGGCTCCATGAACCAACTAATCAAAGTGCCGAACGCCGTCTCATTTCGATTACTTTAAAACAAATTCGTCCTAAGACACTTGTATAATCATTGAATCTCTGTATGACGTTATTCAGTAAGTTCAATTACGAAAGTTGTCGGTAGTGCCATAGTATTAGAGTCACGTTTGACGCTCGATGCGAAGGACATGCAAATAGATTACTTGTCCGCTGTATCTCTAGATGTTTACTTCAAACTGGGTTAAAAGTCATAATGTTATACGAAGCTGCCAACTAAGTTGAGGTAAATTGAATCTTGATTAGGAGAGGTTATGGTATTGATTTGATTGTACTTGTGGGATTGGTTTGTAAAATAATTTGCATTGTAGTTTTGATTGTATATGTAAGTACTTATTAGTACGTATTGAAGAATACTCTACATCTACACATGCACAGAGTAAAAGTAAGCAGTCATTAAAAATTTCATTGTGTTTTTTAGTTTCGAAAAAAGTTATCAATA